AGTCCCTACAAGGGACTCCTCAAGAGCCGTCCTCAAGAACAGCTTCCACTTCTGGAAACCACTTTCCATTTGCCTGCTGGTTAACTTCCAGTATTTCAACAGGTAAGAAAAACAGTTGGGTTGATGGCTTAGTTTTCCAAACTGTGTAACAAACCACCACAATTCAGAGCAAAACTTTTTGTTTGTTAATGCTTATCTACACTGGGACTAGAACTGTGTACGGTAGTGATTTGGATGTTAAGGGAGAAAACGAGAGACACAAATCAACTTGTGTAAAGTCAGAACGGAGTCAGAACAGGAGTTAGTAAAAGAATCCAGAAGCACTCTTGCATTCCTCCATTCTAAGCAATGGTAAATACTTTCAACTAAAGGATGAAATTTTTACTCTGATTAAACAACAGGGTTGCAATACCTTGAAAGCACTGCAGCAACATTTGGAAAGCAGTAACTGGGAATTAGTTTGAGTAGAGATAAAACTTTGATAAATGGAGAAGCAGAAAAGCTAGTATATTACAAAAAGAAACAAAGCCAAGGATATAAAAAGACTGCAGATAAACATAGGAACTTATTTCTCTGAACTTACACAGCTCCTCTCACCCTACTGTACTTTTTGCTCTTTCTTTCTTTTGCCTCTCGGGATGCCAACTGCAGTTGCTCAGATTAAAAGGAACTCAGAGATAAGACAGAGGGAATGGTGTGACTACTATCAGTGCTCAGCTAACGTCCTGACATCCTGGGTCACAGGGATTAATTCCATGGCTGTAAAATGTCAGCAACTTTATTGATGGCAATAGAAATATCGATAGAATTAGGTAGCATCCAGCATTATAAAGAACATTACATCTCCATTCTAGCTTTTTCAAATACACACATTGGGTAGACAGAGTGTGTCACAGTGGGTATCTATATATTACATTACTGATCTCAATATTTAGTTCTTGGTATTGATGCTTATTTATTAATTTTGATTTACCTGGAATTTTGTGTGCAGTTACTTTGTTTGCATTTGTTTACTGGAAGACAGGCTGGAATATCAAAACCATAGAAAGCTTTAACAGCAGAAAGTACAAGGAATTAAGGTATCACTAATTCCTGAAAAAAGCACATCGATGCATTTAGGAAAGTCACCAAATGAGACAACTATAATATCGTTGCATGTTTGCACACCTAACATGGAACAAAACACCTGGTACCTTTTACACCTTTTTACCTTCTGTGGTGCTGGATTTAATCTTGAGTGCAGTGAAAGGACTCTACATAGATCACTGTATCACAGCCTTGAACAAACCAGAATTAGACTCCAGTAAGAGGCTGCACAATGTTACACTGCCCTTGACAGAAGATTTAACCTTTTCAGAATCACAAGCAACCACTAAGTTTTCTTCCTTGTCCCAGGAGGGAGTAAACTGAGGGAGTAAATCCCATTATGCTAATGGCTACAGCAATGAAGTCCAATATTGAAGTGCCATTGTGAAACCAAATTTTCAGTCATCCACCTTGATCTCTCCTTCTGTCGAGTGTATGGCAGCTCTGCGGTTTGCTTCCCTTCCATGCTGTGACCTCTCTGATGGATGGTTTGTAACACCAGTACGGGACCTTCTACAGCTGGGGGTTAGGAGTCAGCCGAGCTTTTACAAAACATAACTGATTCCATTAGCCATTAAAATTGGCCAGGGCTTGATCAAACTGTTCTGGCCATTTAGATACAGAAAAATGCACTACTTCCTTCCTTACAACTCTGCACTGCAGAAATGTAGGCACATTATTTGCACCAGCATGTATTGATATGCAGTAACAATAAATTCTTACACTGTTGTTATAATGGGAAGCACTTAATTTTAAAGGGGCACCAGAAAAGATTAATTCTCAGCAGTAGCCAGAGAAGTTAATCAGCAATTTATTGAGTAAAATATGTTGCGCTGAGTAACAATTACCTCCACAGACAATGCTATTGCCTTTTTCCTTTTTTTTTTTTGTTTTTAAATTTGAACTACATTTTAAAAATAAAGGAGAAACACACAGGTCAGACCTGAATATCACTTTAACCAAAGATCCCAGAGTCAAATCCAGTTACGTATGTCAGACATTCTGCTGTAGGATGGACTAATTTGTCTGTTTTCTCCTCTTTATTCATAGTTTCACTTTCCAAATGTTAAGGCCCTGACATGAAACAAAAAAGGATTAAGGTGGTATGGAAAATGGAATTTCAAAATATTCTGCAGAAGAAAAATTTTTGAATTTTATTCTGACAGTTAAGAAGTGTTCTTAAGTCTGTCCTGGCACCTGAGAGGCTGCAGGCGTAGAAAATTGTTATTTAACAGCATTTTCTGGCCAAAGGTTTTGTGAAGAGCCTTCCGTCCAGCTCCAATATGTCATGAAGCCAAGCTGTGTTTGGGTCGCATAGGACTGACTGAAAAAGACTGTTGCCATCCTGGAGTTTTACTTATCTTTGGACAGTTTCTTGCCATTTTGGAAAAGCAGTTTAAACAGTTAAAGCAGAACTACATGCATACCTGTTTCACCCAAACTCAACCTTTATTTGAACCTCACAGCACATAGGGTCCAGCAAACCAAACACCCAGCCTTCACCCTCTCCCCACCTCTGCCACCCAGCGCTGCCCCATTTCCAGGCTCATACCACAGTCCAAGTTGCTTTGGGTCACAGCTCTGTGTTGGAAAGATTTCCTGAGTTTTCCTAGCAGAACTGATTGCTTGGTTTATTTGTTCCCACCGATGGACTTTGGAAGGATCTTCTGACACTGCATTAATCTCAGCCCTGGAGAGCTGAAGTTGAATCATGCCAAGTTCCTGGAAACTGAAAAATTCCAGCTGGAATTTAACCAGAAATGCCTCAGAGCTGGTCAAACCACTCTATGACAAAAATAGAAATACTCATATATGTAACATTAATAAATCACATTCTTCACAAATTAAGGATAAATAGCCATTAATTGTTAGCCAGCCTTCTAGAACTCTTAGAGCTTTCCTCATACAAAGACATCTTCCTACCTAGAACTTCTCTGATTCTCACAGAATGAAAATAATTAAAATGATAATACTCTGTTAAAAAGGACGTATAACAATGGCTATGAAGTTATCATCTCAGTTTTTAGAGTGCACCACTCCATTTTCGTGTTACCTTCCCTGATCCCTGTCTTTTCAGGCTCATCAGGGACAGAATCAGTTTCTGCATGTAGCATTGTCCTGGGTTTTGGCTGGGATAGAGTTAATTTTCACATGAAGCTGGGAGGGGACACAGCCAGAACAGCTGACCCAAACTGGCCAAAGGGATATTCCATACCATGCTGTCATGCTCAGTATATAAGGGGGGGCTGGCCAGGGAGGAGGGGTCGCTGCTCAGGGACAGGCTAGGCATCAGGTTTTGGGGTGGTGAGCAAATCACACTGTGTATCACCCACTTTGGATATTCTAAGTATAGCTGTAATTTTCCTCTCCCTTTGCTGTCCCAGTCAACGGTCCTTATCCCAACCCAGAAGTTTTATCTTTTTCTTCCATTTCTCCTCCCCATGCCACCGGGGGAACCAGCTGCATCATGCTGAGCTGCCAGCTGGGGCTAAACCACAACAAGCATAAAGATTTGACATACAGAATCAAGGGAAGGTGGAAAACAAAAAGCAATCTTCTATGTTCCATGGACATCCTGGCAGCACTCTGACCTGTATTCAACTCACATTATTTGCAAAGTTCTCAAAACGAGATAAAGCAACAATAATGATTATTGGGCCTCTAAATTGACAACACCAGCTAAGAAATGAGCAACCTAAATATCGAAGTTCCTGGTATTTGCTGTGAAGAGTGAATGTAAAATCCCTCTATGTGATAGGCAACACTATTGCACTATCTAGCTCCATTTACCCTTTGAATAAGGGACTGTTCAATAATTTCCCCAACAATAACTCAAAGCCATAACCTTTTTGATTTGAAAGACCATAACTGCACCAGAGAACCTGAATGTAACTAGAGGGGGTAGAACAACAGGGAAAGGATATGGAAGATGGAAAAGCAGCAGTAAATCGTAGTGTTTCTCCATGGATTGTTCTGTGACAGTGTAGGAAAACGAAAGAAAACTCCTTGCTAGGCAGATTCCATACAATTTCCTAAACACACACCTTTCTATGGTAATTTTTGAATGAAACAGGGATGGACATGAGATAAACACTAAGAAGTAGTGCATTCCCAGTGTACTCCCAAACCATCTTGGGGAATGACACTACAAAATGAATGAGGTGGCACTGGAACAACTACGCAGTCAGATTATTTGGGATCCAGAGGGAATTCTGAATGAAGTACCACACTACACTACGAGATTTCCAGGCTGCAGGACCAGTTGTTCATACATCCCACAGCACTATGTAAGGCCACTCTTCAGCACCCAAACCCATCCACTTCAATTTTGTGTTTTGGACAGTACTTGAGTGTCTGCAAGGGGGAGGAAAGATTATGAAATGACTGACAAGAAGCCAGATACTGCAAGAAGCCAAAGACACAAATATTAGAGCTTGCATTAGAAGTGATAATTGTGAAGTAAAGTTTCAATCCAATGTGGAATGTACACACTTAGAAGATAGAACAAAGGATATATAAACAAGATTGACTTTATTTTTATTTAAATTTTACATACAATAACTTTTATTCCAGCTACTGGGGCCAAGTGACAGTCTTGCAGAACAGTAAATATTAAATTCATTACAGCTAAAAACGCAGAGAGAATCTCTGAGAACAGTCTACACTTGTTTTAATCTTGAAAAGCATATTAGGAACCACAGTAAGGAAAAAGTATATAAAAAGGTATTTAAAAATCCAGGCTCATTTATAATACTATGGTTATAGATTCTCTAAGAATCTCCCGATTATCAGCGTTTTAATGTTTCTTTCCACTACCAATTAGCCATTATAGCAGACATTGTAGCTTAAAACCAAGAAATAAACAGTCTTGCAAGTAGCATGGCAGGCTCAGTGTCACAGAATACTGGAAACATTCATGATGGAACCCACATATTTCCATGTGTATCAGGGGCATCAGTGTAAGGAATATTCCAAATCCACGGTTGATCTGTAAACCAAAAGAAAAACATGCTCATGACAAATTCAGTTATTAAATGTAAAATTTTGATCTTCTTCCTCTCTTCTCTTTGAAGAAAGAGGAAGGTCAACATTCCCACTGATTTTCACACAACCCCACCTGCAATTTCAGTTTACTGGAAATTTTTATTCAGCTGTTTTTTAAAACAGTAAGATTTAGAGTTTTCAAAAGGCTTTGCTTTCCCCCCCAAATATTATTTTAAATATAATTATCATAACTCAGCATACTCCCAACCAGCTGTAAAAGAATTGTATTTCAGACAGTATACAAAACAGTAACGCAGCCAAATTTGGTTTGGCCCACAGGCAGCAAGTTTTGTGCGGCGTATCTCTTAACCCAATGGCATTATAAATAAGTGCTGTAACATGCTAGTATTTGTCATGCAGACAGTAAGAATTCAGTACCTGATGCTGCCTGAACTCTGAAATGTTCACATTCCTATCTCACTTCTTCAAACATTACATCTTTAGATGAGCAACAGGTTTGCAGCAGACAGTTCCCTCCCTCCACTTCTCAGAACACAGAAGCTATTCCCACTCCTGGGAAGGAGAGAAGGCAACGCAGCAGGAGCCAACTGCTTGCTCTGCAACCTGCTCTAGGCTCTTCCTCCTACCACATACACATTGCAGAAAAGCAGCTAGTCTATGAAGCCATCTACTATTCTACTTCTCTCAGGCTACTCCTACTGAAATACAGAGAAAACTTCAACCCTTTCAGTGATTTTTCTCAAATAAGATGTTTATATAAATCTAGCCTGCTTCCTTTTCTCTATCTACAAAATGAGCCCTGAAGGAAGACAGTGACATTAATCTGTGCAATGCATAAATTAAACTGAATTGTACTGAGGATGATGGGAGTAGTTCATTTATCGAAACCAAGTTGTTCACCTACATGATATACCATGCATACTTGCTAAAGATTTCCTACATACTTGTCAACTGAAATTTTAAGTAAGCTATTGATTATGATTACTACTGCCCAATTTTAAGTTTACAGGATCCAATGCCAGCTCACACAATATATGAAGTGAGAATTACTGTAGCAAAAGGAGGAGTAAGAAAGTGACCAAGGCAGTAATGAAGGGATGTATAAATTACACAACAGGACACTGTGACAATTAAACATGGAGCAGGGAGGCCATTCCTACCAAGTAATCATTATTGCTTGCTGCTAGAGTATGTTTAATTCTAGTACTGTAGTTCCATATGTTGCAGTGAAACATATCCCAGCTATGCAAATGTTTTACAAAAGCGTCTGTTTACAGTAGTAAGAGTGTAACAGGAAAATGCTTTAAATTACAACAAAATTGAATCTGTCTCGGAAAAAAGCCTTTATGTTTAGAGTTTATGAAGACTGATAGAGATGTTACAAGTCACAGGAATGTGATCACCAGAGAAAGAACAGCCTGTGCTGTTATAATGTTATTATAAGAGGACAATAAAAGCAAACATCCATGTCTTCCCCTGATTTAAAATCATGATATAGCTTCTAGGTGGAAGAAGTTGTTGGTTAGCTTTCAGTTACGTTGGATAGGTGATTTTCAAGCACAAAAAAACCCCCAAAAAGGCATCAGAAGCTGGAAGAAACTATAGCACTTAACTCACAGTGCACTGCCAAAAAAAATGTCTCTAGGTTACTGGGTCAGCTGCAGGATATATAGACTTTGAGTCATCTCCTTTTAAAATTAAAAAAAAGAAAAAGGTAGCACCATTATTTCCCTAAGCTACTTCTATCAGTCTCCCGCCTGAGAGAAATTTGTGCCTTTTGTATTTTAGGTGAATACCTTACCACATAGTAAACATTAATAGTTAGAACAATGGGTACAGAATAAAGCAAATGTTGAAAAAAGTGTTGAGGATTTCAAGCATACATTCAAAATTGATCACTGACCTCTATCTATGACATCAGAATAAATCCAGTCCCACTCAAGCACTTGAATCTGTCCCTTGGAGTACCTTATGCAGGTTGGACCTATCCATCTTCGCTACCATCTGCAGTTACTCTGTTTAATTCAGCAAACCATACAGGCAGAGGAAGACTTAGATGTACAGAAATTAACTTTATTCACTCCTTAAAGCACTCTGAAGCTTCAATACCTAATGTAATTCTTTTTTATTGTGGCTGTCTTAATAAAATTTTCTTAAGGTAGCTATTAACGTACTTGGAACTTTGTTTTATTAATGGGATGCTGTTGGTTTTATAAATCACCTGATACTAGTTTAATAAGCCATGTGTAAAACTATTGCTGAATTAAATTATAATTCACTTATTTTTAAAATGTCAGATCCAATTTAAAATTATTTGTCACTTTTAACAGGAGCTATAGCAGCAAGAGAAAGACTGCAACTGTGTACAAATACTGTATGACAGTAGCTACTTAGTGTTGCACGTTAAAATGATTGTCAAACTTTGGAAAGTTAAATTCTTTGATCTTCTGGGGGAAAGAAGAGGTTAAGTGTTCCCTGTTTATAGCCCCACCATATATATATTTTTAAAGTGTGCTCAACATACCTACCTACCTTCCACACCTTTCAAGTCTTGTTCTTAATTTCTGACACCCTAATTTTGTCTTAACTGCACCTTATTGGAATTAGTGTTATCTAGTGACCCAGTACTGCTGCTTCCTCCTTGCCTCACTTACGAGCAGCAGAACCCTAGCACAAGAGTTAGCACACAGTAAAATGAACAGGGCCATTGCTACCTCACTGCTACTTTAAGATTATCTGAAATCTCAAGGCGCTATGGCAGACTTTTGAAGATTCTCTCACAACTGACTAGACTATTGCATTTCAGTTAAAAATAGAGGCGCCCTGGAGAACAAGACAATTTTTTTTCAAGTACACCTGATTAATCACTCAAAGAATCCCCCACATTTTGAGACCATGTTTCAGAACATGAAATCATGAGCTGACAATAGTACAAGGTTGTTTTGCAAATTTTAACAATAGTAATTTACAAATGCAGTATATTATGTAGGTCAAAAATATGCCAGCAAGCCATCTTAAAACTTCATGTTCTTGTAAGTATGACAGATGGCAGTATGGTATGTACAGCCAAAACCAGAAAAGTCAGTGAATTACAGGAACATGCAATTGAATAGTAAAGTATAAAATACAATTAAAGCATCTTTGTGATCCTCTTCCTACAGTTTCAAATACAAGTGTCATTTGCACTGTGAGTGGAAATCTGGATCACAGCTATTCCTTGTTGATTTCTAAATGCAGAGACTGGATTCTTACATCATCTTTCACAGTATTTCACAAGTCTTCCAAATGACAAATGTAGCTTTGAAGTACTAAGTGCTCACATATACAAAGTTCTTCGAGTCATTCTACATATACCTTCTAACACAGCAGACTTACTCCCTGCTGCACAAGACTGGAAAATTCTCCCCTTCAGCATTTGCAGAAGGTGCAGACTATATTTCTGTGTCTTTTCTCCCCTCCCTTTAGATGAGCATGGCATTTAAAAAGGAACTCATCTTGATCCTCTCAATACAAAAAAATCATAGCCGAAAACTGTCAAGAAAGCAGAAAGGCAGATGGGGTATAGATGTGGTATCTATAATATTATTCACAAACAAGGTAGTAATTCCTGAAGGCCAGGACTATGACCACTCCTTGTAGAAAAAGAAAAAATAAACAAAACCCAGTACTGCAGTTTCAAAGTAGGATTTGCTTGGTTTCTCAATGTGTTGATGTGATAAGAGCAAAAAAAAAAAGTCCCTAGCACTTTTCTGAGGCCTTTCCCAAGTTGTTCTAAAAAAAATTATGTATTAAAGTTCCAAGTTCCTCCCATACAGATTACTTCCTCAGTCAGTAAGCTGTGCAATACCTAAGTCACAAATTAAGTGATATTCCTTCACTAGCACAAGCAGCTTGTACCTCCTCCCAGGCAAGAGGTACAAAGAGATGTATCCCTTTTTGTAATGTAAGTCTGTTGTAAGAAACTTCTCAATAGGGTGAACCAAAAGCGATAGGGGAATCAGTCCTCAAGCACTCTAAATGAAATGCTGGGCTTTTATGAGAGGATCAGGCCAACTTGTATTGGCAAGAGAGGTAACAGCAATATTGCAACTGAGATGTGACAATGGAGCTCAATGAGAAGATAATTTTATGCAATGAAATAGCAGTAGTCATCTGAAAGCTTCTAGAGGGAAATAAAAATCTGAGTATTATCAAAGGCAAAAAAAGAAATTTTATTTGTAAAGATATCTTGCTAAGTAAGATTGGGTGTTCTATGCATGTTTCCCAAACACTAGACTGCATCATTTTCTGTTTTCCTTCCAAGAAACTCTCAAACTATATTCCTGGTCTACAGGGTTCTTTTATCTTAGTATCATCAATACATTCAGCTCTGTCATAGCCTTTTTTGTCACAACAGCCTGAATCTGTTGCTAGTAACAGAAGAGTTCAGGAGATTGTTGTATCTATATAGTTTATCTATCAAGATATTAAGGAGTACTATCAGCTACCAGATGATTTTTTTTTTTAATTCTTTAAATGTTTTGCCCTGAAGACGTATCTGCTGCCCACAAAAGGCCTTCTGCTGTTCAGCTGACTGTTGGAGGCAAAAACCTGCAATCACCCAAACCAGCAATTTGCAAAGAATTAATAACATACATGTTGCACACAACAAATGTTATCTGCTAAAAATTAATAAGGTCCTTTGTCCCTTCACAGTAGGAATGATCTTAATCTTTATTTTAAAACTACCAGATGTAAAAAGTGCATTTTGTTCCCTGCAGCAAGACAAAGATGTAAACTATGTATATTATGCATAATAAAACTAGTTTGTGTTGGTAATTTAAAGCAGCTGGGAGGAAACAGTCTAAAGGAAAAATGCCCAAGTAAAAGTTCTCTATGCAACTGTAACTCTGATCTGTTAGGATGACATACTGTTACATTTCCTCAAACTTCAACTACAGATCTTGCACTCTGCACAAGATGGATCAAATCACATTAGTTCAA